CTCTACCTCGAATTACCTGCAATTTTTTGACACTTTTGGTACTAATATTATTAAAATACGGAGTCGCAAAGTATAAAGATTGATAATAATGATGATAATGAAGAATAAAAGTATAAAAATGGCCCAGAAATATTTGGAGGTCCTAATATACCTAGCTAGAAAGACCATTATATGATTTTACGCATGCTACCAAACATTTGTATGTATGCAGATGTAAAATGAATGGTAACTAATATGAATCTGTTCAGAATTCTACGAAGACAATTGCAAACATGGTCGATGTGTTCTTTTGAGATAAGACGGCTGTCGATGATTAGTCCTAGGTAGACCTGTTGCTCTATAATCTATAAAATGGAACAAAATTTAATATTATGAAAAGTCTTAGATAAAGGGTAGAAAACAAAAAGCGATGAATAGAAGTGAGGGTAGACTTTTTATATACGATAGGGTGACAACCAGTCCATCTGATGGAAAGAGGTTGCTGTGACTCATAGACATCTACATTTATTCTCAATAAAGAATCAAAATGCTGATGCGTCGATATCAGTGAGGACTAAGATAGAATGCTTCTTTTCCAGCAAAATGGGTTTCCGCTTCTCTACACTCATTATACAAAAGACAGCAATGTCAAGCTGCCATTTTACGCTGGTATTCTGTGAGAGCGTGGTCCTTCCCCGGTCGAACCGACTCATTCGTGCTACAAATTTACTACTAATATAGCTGCAGCATGGCTCTACCACGTATAAATTTATAATAGAATTCAAAAATACTCTTTTAAGCAGGACACACTTCAACGCAGGCGACTTGTATGGTCTTTAAAATGGATGATTATGTTTATTGCGATTATTCCGCTAGCGCAGGCAAAGGGCAGTGGTAAAGCCGACCAAAATACATCGTGGTAAGTAGTAATGCTGTTGGATTGCATATTTTGTCAATTTGCATTTATCCTATAAATTAATGGAATTCATCCCGTGATCCCGTATGCGACCGTGACCGGCACGTATTGCCGTGTGGTTGAAAAGTAATTGCGTTACACTGAATATGTGTTGTCACTCTTATACTATATTATTGTAAATATTAAATCTTGCTGTGTTTCTGACAGAAATGATCACATTATTTCATTAAATTTCCTCAAATTGTTTCGGAGATAACATACAATACTTTTCAGTATGAAATAACTTATATATTCAATATACAATATATAACGTAATTAACGCACACCCTCAGACACCCCAATTAGTATATCATGTTATAATCATTATACATACACTGACTTTTTAATTAAACATGTTTATGCATTGATTATTTATTAAATTAGTTATACTAATTCCGGAACAATGTTGTGGTCACAGTATAAATCCACGAACGCACGCATTCGCTCACGTATAGGTTAGGTATAGGTTTTGAGGGTCTTGCTATCCCAGTAGTATTCGCTCGCGTTCGAGACCAGTTAACGCCGCCGCCGCTTGACACAACTGTAGGTAGGTATTAGTGCCGAAAAATTGTTTGTTTGAAAAACACATTTGTTTATATTAAAAAAATAACTACCTATGAACACTAACTGATGTTCGTACTCCAAGCATCGAGTTGTTTATAAGGTCTAGTAAACACTTGATTCCATTTTTCCATCACACTTTTCAATCTTTGGTCTGCGGACTCTGAACAATTTTGTTTATTGATTATGTTACAATGTGAATAGGTAATATTCGTTACAAAATGTTATGCATTAGCATAACATTTTAATTGTAATTGTAAATAATAACGAACTGCTAAAAATAAGAGGCGACCATACTTCCACCATAATTCAAAGACGGCGTGTTTAAAAGATGTGAATCAAGATTACAAAAATTTTAAGAATCAAATATTTAACTTGCTGATAGCCTAAACTCTCATGCAACGTTGTATTTTTATACATTTTCAAAATGTCCACCACGGCTCCGTGGTGCAGTGGCTTAGCAATTGAGTTGCAGCGCTAAGGACCGCGGATTCGAACCCCGCACGGAACAATATTTGTATGGCCTACAAATAATTGTTCCGGGTCTGAATGTTTGTCCTCGTGCAATTTATGTTTGTACACTGCCTCCAAAATACAAGAAAAAATCCTAGTGTGGAGGTTTCGTTTTAAAAAAGAAAGAAAATAATTTAGAAAGCAATTCAGTGTCATTTTTCACTATTCTAAAATCGTTCACCCATAGAATTACTATTTTTAGGTACTCGGCACTTGTTGTCTCACTTAAATAAACTAATAAGTCAACATGCGTCAAATCAAATTATCTGGGAGGTCAATGGCCTGGCCGCCGCGACCTTTATAAGGTAAGGACCTTTATAAGTATTTTTAAAGACTTTAACATTCTTGAAATAAGGTTCAATTTTATTTATTTTGTATTGAATTACGGAATTTGTATTAATACATATAAAACTGCACTTTTAAAAGTCTTATTGCCTTGAGTTACGGTCCATTTCAGTTTGTTTTGACTGTACAGGTTTAGTGTGACTGTAAATTACGTAGTTCAATTATTTTTGGGATAAAAAAATTACCTATATTAAAAATGATAAAAATCGATTCAGTAAACGGTTCTGAACAAACTACTTTCTCAAAGTGCGTTAATTATGTTACGTGTTGTATATGTAGGATTTCATTTCCGAAGATGAGTGATCGAGATGAATGAACAATATGAATGAATGGCTAATGGTATAAAAGCAAACGAAAAAATGTGCGTAGCATGTAAGACAAATTATATAATTTAATTAAATAATTAATTAAAAACAATCCCGCACACTAGGTTTTTCTACTGTATCGTGGATACAGTACACAAATAGTCCTTGTACATGGGTTAGTATCCAGACGTGGAACAATTATTTGTAGGCCACATATATATGTACTTGTTCCTTACGGGATTCGAACTCGCAGCGGCCAGCGTTGCAATTCATTGCTAAGTAACTGCACCATGAAGCCATCGAAACTTAAGAAAGTAATAATTATTTTAAAAACGAAAAATAATAAAATAATTTACACATAATATCTTCTGAAGTCGGTGCTAAGACGTAGTGTATCGAAAAATTAAAGCCCCGAATTTAGAAGCTATTATGTGGAAGTTATTTTATACTAGCTTGTTTAAAAAGTCACTAATAATTTTAAAAATAAAAATATTTTTGCCTTACTTACAAATACCAGTTATCCTAAAAACAGTAAAATACATAAAAAAACCAACGGGTTTGTTTAGGCCTAAAAATGGTCATTTGAGACGGCATCCAATTGCCTTCGACTTAGCGAATCGCCCGATGGTATTAGGTGTCACGCGCGTCGCGGGGAGGGGGCATCGGTATGCAGCTGCCCAGCGTTTGGCGCTCGTGGGCGAAAACAGTAGCTTGAGTGCAGCGACGCCGTCGCAAGGTAACGTATTTGTGGTGACCGTGGCAGCGATTTCGTGCGACCAGTTTTGGTTTTATGGTCTAGATTTTCAGTATTTGTGCGCGTTACTTCGCTACTTAAATTGTGTTTCGTGAAGACCGCCCCGGATTAGGTTGTCTAAGTATTGCAGTGAGTCTACTCGGGCCGCGTGATCACCTACATAATAACCTCTGATTGTGTCGATTTTGTTAGCAAATTTATGCAACGACGAGAATTTGTGGAGTCTAGAAAATTAGGCGCCGGGTTGATTTATTGTTTGGAAGTTAATGTTTAATTGTATCGTTGCGTTAAGTGCCTTAGAAGGTCGCGTTCGGTTCTCGAAATAATTTGTTGCTGAGTAAATGAAAGTGAACTTTGACCCACCGTTCACCAGTCGTGCCATACGTGCATAGACTGACATAGTGAATTGAAGAAATATATTGTCCATTGGTGACGCCGCTGGAGAATACTACATCGTGGGGCGGTGCCGGAGTCAGGGTTGCTGCCGACTAAAAGGGTTAAGTCAGGCCCCACATAGTTACACAATAACAAACACCACTTACATGCACTACACCTAACGCCTGACCGAGCCTTGTGTGCAGTCTTCGCCTCTGAACAGGTACGTACTATTTATTTACCTAGCCTTATCTATATCGTGTAGGTCAATTATCCATAGGCCATTGGGCCCGAACTCTCTGGTTGCTCGTCGAGTGTATTACTGATGGGCCCTAATACAGTCGACTTTTGTCCGGGCAACTGAGAGCCGTAACAGGGTTTATTAAATAATTTTCTTGTTTTTTGGAAATCTCTTAAAAGTTACATGTAGTAGTGTTTTTAATATAATGTGACAAAATTTCACTTGTCGCCTGGTCACAGTATAACGGAGGATATCCCATGAATATTTATGAAAATTATAAAGCAGCAAATCTGAAAATTGATTTTTTCTATCTATCCTATTAATAAAGGTTTTTTGTTGTGCAGCTTTTAGTACATTGACTTAAACACTTTCTAAAATGGCTACGGAAAACATTTGTAAAATGTTCTGCTACAACCGCTGAAAATAATGGTCTTCAAGTGAAACTCTTGTCACGATATCAAGTGCATGGATAGATAGATGTAGTGTTTTTGTATACAACATGTAACAAAAACCCATGGTTCTCGTTAAGTAAGTTATCAGTCAGTATTGAAACGTATAGAAATAACTTTACCCTAAAAACCCGACCATATAAAAGTCAAATTAAATTTTTGTGTTTTATTTGTAAATTGGGTGTAGGTTTATTACCTCTGCATTGCATGCGAAGTATTTCAAAATAATTCGCTTTACCGATGCGCGTGTCAGTTACACGTAATAAAACCACATACATTTGTAGACAAACATTTATTTTAGATTTTTAAGATCGATTTTTCTGAAGTAAAGTTATTTCTATACGTTTGAATACTTATTCTGATAAAGCACTTAACGGGAACCACAGTCTTTTTGTTACATGCTTTACAACTCACCGTGCTCGCGATTGTACACATGCAAACATGTACTATCTACAAGTCCTACTAATATAAATAAATGGAACTTGGTTGTGTATTGGTATAAGCATCATCATTATCATCATAGTCATCAACATCATCATCGCCATCATCATCATCATCATCATCATTCTCATTATCATTAGTAGCTCATAAAAGTCATGCGCTGCTTATTTTTGGCAGGCGGATTGACGATTGCAGTACTAGACGTCTCGCGCCCTTGACACTGCTGCCGATTACTGGTCTTAGTGTTTTACGCCTGGCGTAAAGAGATGGTTGTATCTATCCCGTAGTCACCTCTTCTGACACCTGCAGGATAAAACGATGATGGATTCTATTGTATTTAATCTTATAAGTAAATGATAAATTACTGAACATGAAGTAGATATAGGTTGTACTTAAAAGATACGGGCGTCACTGCGATTACCCAGTATAATAAACACGTTAAAAATTAATTCGTTATGATTCGAGTAAAAACAAAATAAAAATGATATGTAATCCATTTGAAGAGCAAAATAATCTACTTACTTACTTATCTTCACGCACAATCCCTGACGGGGTAGCCAGAGAGAACAGATCGCCAAGTGTCACGATCCTTACAAACCTCTTTCGCTTCTTTCAGATTCATTATCTTCTTCATGCATGCACGTCTAGGTATCCGAGTACTTTTGACCCTACCCTCTTCGAGCAATTTGCTCACATGGTCTTCGAAAGTTAGTCTCGGTCTACCTCGACACCTTTTAATATTAACTTTCGCGCTATATATTTTCTTCACCATTCGGTCTTCACTCATTCGCTCAACGTGCCCAAACCACCGAAGCACGCCCTTATCAATTTTTGTGATAAGGTCATCTTTCAAACCTTGCCATGGTAACGCCGCACATTTTACGAAGAAATCGCATCTCCACTGCATTCAACTTACTTTTATGCTTCTTCTGGCATACCCAGGTTTCGCTGCCAATAACAAAGTCGGTACCAACACTGCGTTATGTATTGCAAGGCGTGCACTCTTCGCTACGCCTTGCCTTTTGACTAACGCAGTCAGGGCACCATTGACTTTGTTCCCGGCAGCGACACGCCTGTCCACATCTAAATCACATCTTCCATCCCGGCTAAAAGCACTCCCCAAGTATACAATTTCATTTACCTGTTCTAGACATTCCTGATTTACCCATATTTCACACTTCGTTCTCTCTTCGTCCCTTTCAAATACCAGAACCTTAGTTTTATTAGCATTCAAACGGAGACCTTTAATTTCACATTCCTCTTTCATACACGTGACTAATGCCTGCAGTTCTGCCTCTGATGGTGCAATAAGCACTGCATCATCAGCATACAGCAGACAATTTACTTTTATGTCACCCAATTTCACACCCAAACAACTATCTTTCAGCTTCTGTAAACAGCTGTCGAGATACAGTATGAACAGCCAGGAAGACATGACACAACCCTGCTTTACGCCCGTTTGGACGTTAAACATGGGTGACAGGGCATGCTCTACCCGCACACAGGCTTTACAGTCACAGTAAAGAGACTGCACAGCCCTTAGCAATCGACCATTCACACCATACCCCGGCAACAGTTCCCACATTTTCTTCCTTACAACCTTATCAAATGCTTTCTCAAGATCCACAAAAGCACAGAAAATCTTCTGGTTAGCAGCCAGAAGCTTTTCCGTGATCATGCGGAGAGAAAACATTTGATCCGTGCATCCTCTTCCAGGTCTAAATCCGCATTGTGCCTCCCATAGAAATCTTTCCGATTTCTCTTGCATCCTGCGTGTCAAAACCTTCGAGTAAACTTTACTTGCTAAACTGGTCAAGCTGATCGCCCGATAGCACCTGCAGTCAAAGTGTGAACCTTTACCTTTATATAAAGGCACAATGACTGCGGATCGCCAATCATCCGGGACATCCCCCGTCCGCCAGCACAAATTGCACAACAGATGAAAGCTGTCCCAGACGCGAGGCCCCCCATACTTGACCATTTCAGCAGTAACTCTGTCTAGTCCCGCAGCCTTACCACATTTCAAACTTCGAATCGCACGTTCAATCTCTTTCATACTGATGACCTCAGTGTCATCGAGGTCCGGGTCTGGCGTACCAGTCACGGCGTCATCCCCGGATCCCTCACTAAGATCATCACACGCATACATTTCTCTATAAATTTCGCTCCATCGCTGCATGACGTCCGATTTTTCTGAGAGGACGTCATTAGTTCTCGAAAGCACTTTGTTCATTCTTAAGGCCGTCGCACCACTTCGGGTCCTTCCAACCTCTTTCCAGAAGAGTTTTGAGTTCTCCTTAAAGTTGTGCGACAACCTTTCGTCCGCTTCCATTCTACACCTTTCACGCAGTTCCTCAATCAATGCTTTCGTGTGAACTTTCTGCAGCTTATATCTTTCTTTCATCTTCTCTCTCATATCGTTATCATTACTAGAGGCCAAGAAGTCTAACCATGCTTTCTTCTTCTTCTTTACAGCTTCTTTCACTTCATCATTCCACCATGCATCTCTTCTTTTACTACTGCCTCTTTTTATTGTTCCACACACTTCTTCCGCTGCACTTACCATTCCAGCCCTAATGCCCGTTCTGCCATGTTCTTTCTACACATTCTTTTCTGCCATCGATGGTGTCAAGCTTTTCAGCTACCCTCGCATGATATTTGTCCCTAGTATCCGCCTCCTGAAACTTCCAGCTTCGGATGCGACAGACCGACTGTGGTTCTGTTACTGCCGTCCGGTAGCGCCAACCCGCGAACAGACCCCTAAATCTAGTAATCACTAGATAGTGATCCGTTCCCAGGTCAGCACCCCTGAACACTCGCGTATCCATCACCTGTTTTCGCAGTCGGTCATCCACCAGGAACAAATCGATCATACTTCTCTCATTCTTTCGTTCTCTAGTATACATATGGATTTTCTTGTGATTAAACATAGTGTTTGTCACAAGAAGACCCTTTTCCTTGCACACCGCCAGTATAAGCTTGCCAGCATCATTAACCCTTTTATCGCCAAACTTTCCAAGTACCGACTCTTACCCTTGTCGAGCGGTACCAACCCATCCATTCAAATCACCACATACAACAATTCTTTCGTTTCCCCTAGCCAAATCTAGAACTTCTCTTACATTCTCCCAAAACTCCTCCAGCTCAGCCCTGGACGACGAAGCTACCGGCGCATAAACAGCCAAAAGGAATAACTTCGTCAGTCCCAATTTAAAGCGAACCCAGGGAAGTCTTGAGTTCAGAACCTTATATTCAGTCATAACATCGACCAACCGAGAAGACAGCAGCACCCCCACTCCCTGGCAGGCGTTTTCGCTCTCCGGGACTCCGGACCATAGAGCTAACGCCCCGCCAGGGAGCTCTTCAGTACCACTGCCCTTCCGTTTGGTCTCCGACATACACACGACATCTAATTCTCTTTTTTTCATTATTTCAATCAACTCATTCATCTTATCTCTCATGCCTCCTCTAACATTCCACGTGCCAACTCTACACTCTGTCCTCCACCTTCCACCGTGTCGGGCTGTGCGTGACGGGTGGCGGTCCCCATCGCCGCTTTGCACGCTGCATTCCACACCAACGGGGACGAGCTTGTGTGCGTCGCCTTGGGGGAACGCCCTAACCCTCGTTGGCATGGGTGCGCAGCTAGTAGAATTGCAGCACTGAAAAGGGCTCGCGACGAGCACGCTTCTACAATGACCCCCATATATAATCTATTCCCCCCCCCCCCCCCCCAATAATCTACTCTTATATTTATACGAAAATGGCGCTGACGGGAAAAAAATAAGGATGTTATAAGGGATGATATAATATATTATCATATTATACCCAATTATATATATAGACTATTTTCTTTTTCACGTACTTACATAAATTGGGTCAGTGCACGCTGATGAAGAAGCGTCAGGTAAAGAGCGTGCGAGAGGCACTTTAAATTGACATATTTTAATTCATCAACCGATGTAAAAAGAAAAGAACTAAATGTTAGCTTTAGCTTACCTTGATACAAACCTAAAGATCTGATGATGACTGCTGTAAAGTGCCCGATTTAAAATAGTTGAAAATAAATGAAATTAAATCCGTAAAGTTTATTTTATTCAAAACATTGTTTTAATTAAAATTATTTACAGAAGTTTAACTAAGTGCATGCAAATTATATGGAAATATTTTAATAGCTAACATTATGTTCACGTTGCCTCGCAGCGATCGCTGAAACAATGGAGGTCTGTGCAGCAGACCTGTGTACAGTTTCACGATATAATAAATAATTTGCATATCGTGCTAACTGTAATTTATCTCATGTATTTTTTGTTATTTAAATATAGAGTTATATGGAATGATGGTAATTATTAATATAAATTCAACCGTAGATTAATACTTTACGGTTCTACTGTAAAAAATTCACAAAGTAAGGTTCAAAACCACCTTTTAACCACCATCCAGAGCTGGACTCAGACGCAGAAGTAGCTATCCAGATGATTTGGTATGAGTCACAACATACATTCGTAAATTCCGTACGGAACGCGCTCAGTGTTCATCGCACGACCGAAGCGAGTAGGTGTGTTTATGTATGTTTTTACATTTAACCTTATATGGGTATAGCTTTTCATAACCTTTCGTCTTATTTAGTTTAATAATTTGTCGAAAGGATCTTTTTACATAATATTGACTATATTGCAAGCTAAGGGTGATAAGGGGATGAACCCAGTAACAATGATACAGCAACAATGGAATCGCAATCAGAAAATTGTCGCCATTATTCACTGGCAGAATGTCTAGATTCAAAGGATAACGTCTCTCAACTGAGATATTGAAGCTATATTTGTTTTGCGAAACAAAAGCCGTTTGGGCGATTTCGAACCTAAATTGTAAAGAGTCCCTCAGACAAAAATTTAAAGAAATAAACATATTAACTTTGGCATCGCAATATATTTATAAAAATGTAATGTATGTACATTAAAATATAGTTTTAATAAGAATAAGAATGTGCATACTTTAAACACTAGGAACAAACATAGGCTTATAATTCCAGTTACTAGACTCCACAGAATCAGTAATTCATTTATGGGGTAATGTATACGCTTTTACATCAAAATCCCAGAACATAATCAGTTTGTCAATAAATAAGTTTAAAAGTTTTACTAAAAAAACTGTACAAAAAGGGTTATTATAATATTAAGGAATACATGAATGAAAATAACCCATGGGAGTAAGGTGATCGCCACCATGCTAGTTCTATTAAAAATCATTTAAAAATTGAGA